CTTCCTTCCTTTTTATTTTTTGTTGGATTTTTTTTGTTGTTTGTTTGTTTTTTGTTTTTAAAGAAAGTTGGGAAGGAGGCTGGGAGGGTGCATCATAGGTCCATTATTTTGGAAATGAAAGTGAGTTAAACTGTAGTGGCCATTAAATTTCCTTTTCCAGCTGCCTCTCCTGCTTCTCATTCAATAATTTCCTTAATGTTTTATCCTAATGGAGCAGATTATTACTATTATTTTATTTTCTCAAGATTACCTGTTGCATAGAAAAGAGGAGGGAGACCAGAGCTGTGGATGGACTCCGAGCTCTTAGCTGGCTCTGCATGCTTTTTATTGTTATTATTGTTATTATTCTTGCAGATTGTGCGTAAAGGGTCAGTCTGGGGCTTTCATCTCACTGCCCTCTATCTGTGTACCGTGACGTCTTGCAGGAGGGTGATCTTGGGGACAGTGGCAGGATGGCAGGGCCAGGTGCAGTTTTGGGGTCCATCCCTGTGGGACAGGAGCTTTTTCAGCCTCTTTCCTCAAACATCTTCCCCAAACAACACTTCAATCATCTGCCCGTCTCAAGCTTTGATCTCTTTTAATCTGTGCTGCAATTTCTGCTGGATACTCTGGGAAAATCTCCCAAGATTGAGAGTGACAGCGCTGAAACTAGTTGGAAATGGGTCAGAAAAAGTTGCCCGTAGGAGCATTTGCCTGGAATAAAGCTGATCTCTGTTTTCAAAGGCAGGAGAGTGAGACAAAACATGCCTTGCTTTAAATGCTGCTTTTTTCATGCCTGGGTGGCGACTTCAAAACTGGTCCAGCCGAAGGCAGGCTCCAGCTGGGTGCCCTCGGCCAGCACTGGGTGCTCCTGGTGCCAGCAGACTTTTGGTGATCAGGCTCCCCTCTCCAATGCCTTTGCTTTGGCCACCCTGAAACATCCCGGGGGTGTTTGTGTCCCAGGGGATGGCTGATGCCAGGCCCTGGCTGATCCCTGCTCACGTCTGTGCCTGCAGGGAGGGATGATTGCCCTGCTGCTCTCCATCCTCTGCCTGGTGATGATCCTCTACACCCGCCGGCGATGGTGCAAGCGGCGCCGGGTGCCGCAGCCCCAGAAGAGCGCCAGCGCCGAGGCGGCCAACGAGATCCACTACATCCCATCCGTGCTGATCGGGGGCCACGGGCGGGAGAGCCTGCGCAACGCCCGCGTGCAGGGCCACAACTCCAGCGGGACGCTCAGCATCCGCGAGACGCCCATCCTGGACGGCTACGAGTACGACATCACCGACCTGCGGCACCACCTCCAGCGCGAGTGCATGAACGGCGGAGAGGACTTCGCCAGCCAGGTCACCCGCACCCTGGACTCACTGCAGGGCTGCAATGAGAAGGCCAGCATGGACCTCACACCAGGTGGGCATGGGCTGAGCTGGGTCCGTTCCAACGGTTCTATACATGTGTTTTCCCTGGAGCATTTTCCCTGTTTCTCTGGGTTTTCATTGGATGTGAGAGGTTGGTGTTCCCCTGAAGGCACTTCCATTGCTGGGAGACCTTGCAGCCAGTTGAAAGCAGTCCCTGCTGAGTGGGACACGGCTGGGACAATGCAGCTTTGTGGTCCCCATGGCCTGACAGAGAGCCAGAATGGGGTTCCCTCCCTGCCATCCCATTGAGACCCCCAAATTTCCCTTCTGTATCCCCAGATTGCCAGTGTCTTCTTCAGGTGAGCTTTTTAGTTGCAAATTTTTAATTGCCATCAGTATGATTCAGAGTTAACGCTGCATTCTGATCACCAGCAGGGATTCTTTGAGGATTATAACAAACTTGTTCTTTGGTCATATCACTAACTGAGCCATCCAGCTAGAGCCTTCCCAACTGAGACATAGTTTGGAAAAATCATGGTGTGGTGCCTAAAGCTCTCCTGCATATGAAGAAGTGCCCTGAGAGGCTGAGTGTTAAACTCAGCTTTTGGCTGCTTTGGTGGAGTTGCCAGTCCTCTTCAGGATTTGAGCTGCTAATGAGTGTGCATTGGGAGCAGCTCAGCTCATTGGGCTTCAACACCTTGATCACCTCAGGATGATCTGAAGATGGATCCAAGGAAACCTTTCTCACCTCCCTCCCTTTTAAAAATCTTTATCCCTGAAATATTTTGCCTTCTGCTTCCTTCTCAGGGAGCGATAATGCCAAGCTGTCCCTGATGAACAAGTACAAGGACAACATCATTGCCACCAGCCCCGTGGACTCGAACCACCAGCAGGCCACGCTGCTGTCCCACACCTCCAGCAGCCAGCGCAAGCGCATTAACAACAAAGCGCGAGGTAGGGCGGTCCCTGGGGTGGATGGGATGCTTTCCACCCACCTACGTTCCAGCAACACACCCTCTCCTGGGATGGAGAAATAGGACCAGAGCTGAGAGAGTGCATGGAAAAGAGGGTTTGGGTGGGGAGAAACAGAAAATATGGTGCCTGCAAGGATGCAGATGATGTTGGGCTGGTTGGTTACAAAGATGGAGATGATGTTTGCTGCAGTAAATACTACAGCATACTGGCACAGCCATGGGGAAAAGTTGCAAGGTAATCTGTGGTAGGGGTGTCTGGCTGTGTGTGGTGGGAAGGGGAGCAGATGCTGTCCCTGCTGCACCTGGCAGATGGAGCTTCTGGTCCTTAGTGTAAGGCTTTCCCTGAAGGGTGGTAGGATGCCAAGGTTTGGGGTGGCACGGTGCCAACCCCTCCATGACTACACTCAGTGTCCCCTGCAGCTGGCTCAGCCTTTCTCAACCCCGAGGGGGACTCAGGGACAGAGGCAGACACCGATCCCCAGCTGACCTTCTACACGGACCCATCACGGAGCCGGAGGCGCAGCCGAGGTGGGTGCGGGTGCAGAGGTGGGTGACGAGGCATGATCCCTCTTGCCTTATTTGCCGTTGCTTCTCTGGGTTTGGAGACTTTACATTGGCAAAAAGATGGAAACCCAAGTGCAATCCCAGCTGCCGCAGGCAGGCACCAGTCCCTGCTTTGCAGCAGGCTGCTGTTGCTCTCCAGTGGAGTTTCTCAGCAGAGGATGAAATGTATTCTGATGTTTTGCTGGAGGCTTCTGCTGGGCACTGGTGTATATTAATGAGTAACACACTTCAAAGCTGGCCCGTGCGTTCCCATGCCTCTGCTCAGCACTGTGCACATACCAGCTGTATGTGCACCAGAGGATGTGGACAGCCTTGGTCCCCAGGCAGGAGTCTTGCCCCACTGCCCTGCACCGTCCCTTTGGGAAGTATCCTCTTCCCAAGAGGAAAGTGAGTATCTGTTTTCCCTCATTCAGCCTCGTTTGCTGGATAATGCCATGTTTTTCTGGGAGTGGCAAGACTGGGAGCCGTCCCTTTCAGCTGATGCTGGAAGGCTGATTCAGGCTTTGTCTCCAGCCAGTTTGTTTTCCACTCAGCTTTTTCAGCTGAAAGATTAAAAGTCAAAGACCTGCATGCCTTGAGCAGTTAGGCCTCTCTATTGCTTTTTCAAGAGCATCAATGAGCCTGTTCTCATGACAAAATTAACCCGAAGGAGTGGAGAAAACCAGGATACTGCATTTACCTTTTTTTTCCTAATATTGCTGCTCTGCTTTAAAGCTCTTGTGCTGCAAAGTTCTCAGCATGCTGCAGTGAAGGGTGTGGGAGAGCCAGGGCTCTGGGGAATCAGGAAGATCTTGGCTACAGTGGGAGAGAGGGATGGAGAGTCCCATGGCAAACGCTGCTTCATGTTCTTCAAAGTCCAAAGTGATTCCATTTGGTTCAATTGGTGCTGGATTTCCAGGGGACTGGGGTCTCTGCATCCTGAGGTCCCCTGGCCGCACCCAAAGATCTTCCTGGGTCCCACAGGTGTCAGGTTTGACTGTGCTCCCGTGTTTTGCAGTGGGGTCCCCCCGAAGCCCTGTGAACAAGACGACGCTGACCCTCATCAGTGTGACGAGCTGTGTCATCAGTCTGGTGTGCTCTTCCCACATGAACTGCCCCCTTGTTGTCAAGATCACCCTCCATGTCCCTGAGCACCTGATTGCTGATGGTGAGCACCCCATGGTCTTACCCATTTCTTCCTGCCCCACTCTGTAAGGTTTGATGGAGGAGGTGGGGAATGGGATGGGGCAGGATGGGTGCAGGACAGAGGAGACAGGTCAGAGGGGGGCACCTCTGTGGGACAGAGGGAATGGGAATGGGATGGAGGGTACTGGCACAGGACAGAAGGGATGGGTGGAAGACAGAGGGGGATGGTGGCAGTGGGTCCATGACAGAGGGAACTGGTGTGAGATGGAGGGTACCATGTTGGGAGCAAGGGATGGAGTGGTACAGGGTGGAGGGGATAGACACAGGACAGAAGAGAGAGACACAGGGTAGAGATGGCTGTTGTGGGGCACAAGGCTTGCTTCAGGATGGAGGGTATGGTCATAGGGCCAAGGAAATTATTGTGGGTTGGAAGGGAATGGATATGGGATGAAATGGACCATCGTGGGATGAAGGACATTGTGGGACAGAGGGATCAGATATCAGTGTGGGACCAAGGGAAGGGGTGTGGGAGGGAGATGGTTGCAGTGGGACAGAAGAGAAAGGCACAGAGTGGAGGGAGCTGTCATGGGATAGAGAAGACAGGTATGGCATGGAGGGAGCTGTCATATGGCAGACAGGATGGGCACAGGACAGAGAATTCCTTGTGGGAGAGAGGGTGCTTTCTCAGGATGGAGCGAATGGGGATGGAGGGATCCCATGGGCAGAAGATGGAGGGATCCATCACAGGATGGGGAAGAAATATCATGGAATGGATGGGATGCAGGACACCATCACCAGATAGAGGGTACAGCAGCAAGTTGCTGTCACTGACTCCCCTTGTCTCGGTGGCAGGAAGCCGGTTCATCCTGCTGGAGGGGAGCCAGCTGGATGCCAGTGACTGGCTGAACCCAGCACAGGTTGTCCTCTTCTCCCAGCAAAACTCCAGTGGGCCCTGGGCCCTGGACCTCTGTGCTCGGCGCCTCCTCGACCCCTGTGAGCATCAGTGTGACCCTGAGACTGGTAAGTGTTCCTGAGGTTGGGGTGCATTGGTGAGTTCACCTCTGCCTCCTCACCCCCGCTGTGGTGGGAAGGTGCTTCCTCACCTTCTCCTTGTGCAATAGGGAGCTGCCTGGTGTCCTGGCGTGGCTGCAGGCAGGGAAGCACATGGAAAGCCTTCCCATGTGTGTTCTCCCTTGTCCCTGTCTCCACAGGGGAATGTCTCTGCTATGAAGGTTATATGAAGGACCCTGTGCACAAGCACCTCTGCATCCGGAACGAGTGGGGAACAAACCAGGGGTGAGTGCCCAGGCTTGGAGTGTCCTCACATGCAGAATGTCCTCAAACAAGCTGCTAGGCTTCCACAGCTTGTTACCACAGCTGTGGTAACTTCTTGGATGGCAGGGTTAGAGGCACCTCAGTGAATTGTAAGGTCAGAGCACGGCTAGGCTCTGTAGCGGGTCTGTGGGAGGCGAGGATTTCTGTTCTTTGAAAAATAATCAGGAATGATGTACATTGTTGCATTTTAAAGTGAACATCCCCTGGAGAAGATCGAGGTTGTTCCTGCCACTTTTGTGTGCACTATCTTGGGCATCCTCCACTTTGTCGGGCTTTCATTTTGGGTGTATGAGGCGTCAGAGGAGGGCTGAGGTCCCCATTGAAAACTGGGAAAATTAAATGCTTTAATACTGTGGCTGAGGGAACAGAGGAGTCACCATCTGCTCCAAGCTTTGCACACCTGGAGGTGCTAAAGGAAATTTTTCTGATGTTTCAGCAGCAGTTCGGTGATGGATTCCAAAACTTCCATCTCTCTGTGACTCTCAAGGGGGTGCTCCGTCTTTCCCTCAACTCATGGGTCTGTGACGTACAGCTGGGGCCTCCCAGGAATGGTTGGTGTGCAGAAAGCCAAGACATCCCCAAATTCTGAGGTCCCACGTGCATCGGCATCTCCAAACCCTTTTCCCCCCCCTTATCTCATTGTGCCGCAGCTGGATCAGTGGTGGCCCTGCACGTGTCAGGATGCTCTCTCTGAAGTTATTAGTCTTCACAGTGGGAAGAAAAAAATCATCAAAGGCAGGGCTTGCATCTCCCCTGCTGTGTCGCTGTGCTGGGGGATGGCAGTGGTGGGGGGCTGCCGGTGCAGCCCTGCTGTGTCCCTTTTGACTGGGGCCCTGGGGAGAGCACTGCTGCTCCATCTCCAGCCTCCTCTCTGCTTTTTATCATTTTAAAGGCAATTTAGCAACTAAACCCAGTGTGGAGCACCAGCTGTGTTAGACATGGTGTTGCTCTGGGTGCCCTGAGCCAGGGCACAAGTGGCCCCATGCTGGGGATGTGCTTTGTGGTATGGTGATGGTCCTCAAACCTCTGCGAGGTACCACTGCTGGGGTGGGGAAGTACAGCTCCTTGTCCTGTTTGTCCCCAGGGGCCAGTGTCCAAGAGGAATGTCCCCAGCTCCTTTGTGCCATCTCATAAGAGGCATTGAGTGATGGGCTGAGGTGTGTGTGTGGGATATTCCCCTGCCAGGGTTTGCCTGTTTTGGGGGGTGTTGTGTTTAGGAGTGTCTCACAGTGGGCTGGAAAGAGGCCACAGCCACCGAGGGCCACATATGGCTTTGGTGCCACCCTCTGCCTCCATCAGAACAGTGTCTTGGGCCCACCACCTTGCAAAAAGTGAATTGGCAAATAACTTTGTACATCGGGGCTAGTAATAAAAATGGATAAGCACTGTAGAGAAACATTTTCTTCCTGACCCTCTGCTTTTCCTTTGCTCCTGAGTGTAGGTCTGCAGCTTCACACTTTTCTTCCATGCACACTGCTCTTCTCCAGCTTTTTCCTGATTTAGCTTCCACACTTTGTTAAGGCAAAATGGAGAAAAAGATGCTGCTTTCAAGTAAATTGAGAAAAAAATATAGATAATAACAAGCAGGAGAGAAGCCAAGGGCAAGAAGGACTAATATATTCCTGAAGCGCCCTGGACCTATTTGTATCTCCTGATCCAGCTTTGGTCTCAGCAATGCCCACCTAAAAGGTGCTTAGGACCTCCTCTGTTCCCCTGGGGGATTTGGGGCTGCTTTTTTAGACCTTTCTCCAGCCTAATGCTCCCACAGGAGCTTTCTCTCTGCCTTTTCTCCTGCGACAGGATTCATACCTGGCTAGGGTACAACTTGTCTTGTGTTTCTTGTTATATACCAGAGCTGGCTATGACAAATTATGTGCAGCATTTCCAAAATATTTTTCTGTTTGAGGCAGAAAAACCTGGCAATTCTCTTTTCCACAAGGTGCAACACAGCCCTAGACTATGATGGGACTGTCAAAGTTCTTCTGCTCTTTTCTGGGCTCTTGAGAAGGCTCCAATGCTGCAGTGTCACCATCCTTAGGAAACTCTCTCAAGCCTCTTGAAACTGGGGTCATTTTGTGTTTCTTCATTGAGCTTGTCAGATTTTTTTGTTTCATAAAATGGTAGCAGCTGAAACCACACTTCATCATCCCAACCTGCAGCTTCCATTATTTTTAGGGGCTCTTGAAAGCATGTTCACACTAAGCATCATGATGTTGAGGGCAGCTTGGTGTTTAATGAGAGTTTATTTCCTTTTCTTCTCTCTGTTCCTGATAGCCAGGTTCTGCTTAGTGCAGCTCTGCCTGGAAGGGCTTGAGATGATGGAGGTCCCTTTTGCATGAACCTTTGGCCTCCACAAGGTCATGACTGTGATGAAGTCTCTTTAGCCTAGGAGCTCTTGTCAGAGCCTGTTTAACTGAATAACTTGTACCTGTAAGCTGGTATTTATGTTTTTTGGGGTAGAGGTTGAGCTGCCATGTTGTCTTTTGTTAGGCTCATCAGCTCACTCCCAATTCCAGCCCAACCAGGTAGCCTGCAGGCTCCTGAAAGAGATCTCTGCAAATCTTCTGGTCTCTCTCTTCCCATCCTAAGGTGAGATCAGCTGATCTCACCAGTGAGAAACACTTCTGACTACAGTTTGTCTAATATGCTCTGAGCCCTCCAATATTGGAGTGATGTACTGCTGCCACAGGTCAGTCCCCGGGAAACCACACTGATGCTTGGTCAACAAAGCAGGATTTGCCAAATCCCTTGGCAAACTTGGGAGTGACCTGTTCTGAGTATGACCTCCTCTGTCTTCCCCAAGTGTCCTTTTTATCTGAAAAGTCATTTCAACCCTTTGGTTTAGATAGTTTTGACATTGGTTTGTTTTTATTTACAGTGATGACACGTTGACTTGGTGTCTCTTCACTCAGTAGCATCTAATTTTGCTCACGAAGGCGAGCTTATCTTTGTACTTTACTGGTGATGGCAGTGAGAAGCTTTTTGTGTTGTGTGTATTTTAGATACCAGACTGAGATCCACGCCTCCGCACTGCATCTTTTACCCAATGTGTCCGGACCCTAAATCTTCAGTTTTTGAAAAACTCAGATCTTTTTGATCATGGGTAGCAGATATATTTGATCAGCTGCTTTTTCTTTTTCTTTTTTTTTTTTTTTTTTTTTGGTTGTGTGTGCTGCTCTTCGCCTGTTTTAAACAAATCTGTCTGGTGCTGTTTATGAGCTCACAGTCTGTCTCCCTGCTTTGATATGCATTGTTAATTAGCTGCTTTTCGACTCTTACTCTAATGTTCCCCGAGTAGGATGCAGTTTCTAGCAATCCTACCAGCAACACTTCGTTTTTTCTCATCAGACCAAATTTCTGCGGTTCTTTTTTTGTGGTATAACTTGGCCAAATAGTCGAATCAGCACATTCTGTCTTTTGTTAATAAACTGTTACCTGCCTCCATTCGTACTTCTTCATCCCAGCCCTTAGGTCCATGTCCTGGTTTAGGGCAAATTTGGGAGGTAAATTCCAAAGGGCTCCCCCCAGGAAGCAAACCTGAGCGGCCCCTCCCCCAGCTGGTTCGGGAAAGAAATTTCCTCAGAGAGAAGTGGAAAAAAACTGTTTATTTAACAGGCACAGCACTGTCCAGCACAAAAAAAACCCCAATACCGAACAACAAAAGCTCTCAGTGCTCTGAAGAGATGACAAATTCACAAAGTCTCTCTCCTGTGGTGGTAGCTCGGCTCAGTTTGTTATGTGGAAAATGCCGCTGCCCAGGCCAGGCCCCGGTGGCCACAGGTGCGAGCTCCGGGTGCTCCCCCGGGCCCCCAGTTCAGGGCAGGTTCAAATAATTCCAGGGGAAAAAAAGGAAAAAAAACGACTTTCCGGGGAACTTCTCTGCTTCGGTTAGTCAGAAACTAACAAAAAGCAAAGCAGAGCTCTCTCCTCTGTCCGCCACGGTGACAGAGTCCAGGAGGACGAGCAGATGGAACTCCTGTCTCTGTGTTTTGAAAACAACCCCCCCAGACATTCCACTGCTTCTCCTCCCCCTCCTTCACTCTCAAATCCAGCCTTAAAGGTACAAAACTTATTTCTGGGCTAAACAGGCAAATGGGGATACAATTCAACATGACAAAGTCACCCCAGGACAGTACATCTCACACGTGGCTTTCCCCTCCCTACATGCAGTTCCCTGGGTTCACATTTCAGCCTCCCCCTTTGGGATTTAAGGTGCTCTGCGTTAAGGAGCCATTATCAATATACTCTTTCAACTTGTAATGGGCTTCACCCTCGCCTGGAGTGGTTTTAAAGCAGTTTAAGGGATATGGTGAACATGTCAGGCTGGGTGCTCTCATCTTGCTATAAGTGTTGGGAAACTGTCCCACCCCGGTCTTGCTCCCCCACCCGCAGCCTTGCACATGTTTTTTTCCAGCACAGGACCCGAATTCGAGTATCAGCCTGTGCCCTGCTCACCCAGCTCCCCTCCCTTCCCATTGCCGCCTCTTCCGCACACTTATCCCATCCTGACAGTGCACCTGCTCGACTTATCCCATCCCCATCTCACAGAAGAGCAAGAGACACACGGAAGTGACAACGACAACACTTTTCCTGCTTAAAGTCTTAATTTTTCTCTCTTTTTTCCCCCCACCCCTTTTTCTTTTATTTTTCTTTGTTGCCTCTCTCCATCCCCTGCTGTGTGCCTCAGCTTTGCAAGCTGAAGGACAGCCTGATAAAAAGCTCCTCGTTCTTTCAGATCCTTTCATGAAACCACCCATCCGCCTCCTCCTCCCACCTCATTCTCCTCGTAGATTTACGGGCAGCCCAGGGAGAAAGTGCCGACATTAGCATATTTAATAAAGAGCTGCTTGCAAGGCATGGCAGGGCGGGAGGGGTGGGAGGGGAGGGAGGGGAATGGGCTGGGAACGGGAGAGGCATTGGCAGCTGGAACCCGAGCAAAGCTGTTGCAAAAAAGGTGAAGTTGGGGAGGAGTCATAATGGGCATTGCCAGTTGGAGATGTCAGTCAGTGCTCTTGTGGCATCTGCTCTCTGCTCTTCTGCCATCAGGGTGGTTCTGGGTCTTCATGGGTCCCCACTTTGGGGTTCTGGGGTGCAGCAGGAATGCAGGTGCTGTGGGGATGCTCTGGTCTGTTCACCCTGGGCATGGCTGTCCTTGTGCTGCAGACTGGTTGGAAACCCTGAAAAGCACAGAAGGTCAGGGAACCAGATGTGAAGTCACCTATTCTGGCATGTAACAACCGACCACTTTCTCCTCCAGTGACATTTCAGTCACACTCCTGTGCAGCAACTTCTTGTGCCTTCTGCAAAGACCCTCTCCTGTGGCCCCTCCAGCCTCTTGCCGGCTCCCCTCAAATCAGCTGCTTCAAGTTAGCTCGTGTTGGTCGCATCCTGCCAGCGCTGGGCGTATTCCTCATCCCACTCATCTTGTCTGGAAGAGTTTTACAGGCAGTGGGGACAAGCTGGAACACAGTTCCTGATGCCACAAGTCAGTCTGGCCTCATCCCGAGGGCTGCAGTTTAAGCATGGCCAGGACCCTGTTGAGCTGGTTCAAAGCATTACCAGCATCGTCAGGTTTGGAGGCCTTAGCAGATATTTTATGAGCTTCCACTCAAGCCCAGGTGTGGAGCAAAGCATCCAGATAATGGTCCATCTAGAAAAGCCAAGAGGCTTAAGATTGTCCTAGGGATCCATTGGCAGCACTTCGGCCTTGGAACTTGCTTGCTGAGTGTGGGGAATTTGCTGGTTCTCGGGTGCCCTGGTAATTCCCCATTTTGTTGTTTCGGATGCCTACCTGAGTGCCCAGGCTTGCAAGAAGCTGAGAGCTGTCATTTCTGGCCCATTTAATCCAACCTGATCGGCTGCAGAGCTGCTGATCAGTCCCACTTTTCTTTGTGAGATCTGAAGGCTATACAACCAAAATACCCAACAAGAATAACCCAAACCAGAGCAGCAGGTGCCTCCAGTGATGGCAGAAAGCAGGCAGCCATGTGGGGAGTGAGACATCTGTGTAGGGAGAGACACAGCCATGTGCGGAGGGAGGCAGCGATGTGGGGAGGGAGACAGTGATGTGGGGGGACACACAGAGGAAGAAGGAGGTGAAACAGTGACAGAGGCACAAGGAGCAAAAGGCGACAACAGGGGAGATAAGTTGTGACTGGGGGAGGGGATGCTGCCCTGTCCTCTGCAGCAGAAGGCACAAGTCAGCAAGAATGCATGGATGGAAATACCAGTGCTGAGCTTCTGGAGAGCTTCTTTGGAGATGAGGATGGGTAAGTGTCTCTTGTTGAGCTGGAGTTATGTGGAGGATGTCTCAGGGCCTTTGCAGAAGGTTCATGTCCTCGCAGACCCAGTGGTGCCTGGCAACACTGACTCTCCCTTGCCATGTAGGGATGTAGCTAAAGGCTGAACATTGCATTTAAGGGACTTTTTTTTGACCACAAGTAATGGAAAAGTGTGGCAGGCTAAAGAGACATCACACATCTCCCTTCCTGGAGCACAGAAACCTCTTCCCTGTATCAAAGCCATCATCACTTTTAACAAGGGGATGTAGCATTAAGACCAGGGGTAATGGGTTCAAACTGACAGAAGGCAGATTTGATTAGCTATTAGGATGAAATTCTTCACTGTGAGGGTGGTGAGGCCCTGGCACAGGTTGCCCAGATAAGCTGTGGCTCCCCCATCCCTGGAAGTGTTCATCCCTGAAAGGCTGGATGGAACTTGAAGCAACCTGGTCTAGTGGAGGAGGGGTAGGAAGAAATGATCTTTAAAGTCCCTTTCAATCCTGGCCATTCTGGGACTCTGTGATTACAAGAATTTTAGCCACATTTTGAAACTGCATTCTGGGTGGACACAGCAAGGATTGGGTGCTGATTTCAATCTCCCAGGTGGGTCCAAATATACTGGCTCCGTGTCCTGGGTGTGTTGACATCCGTGGGCTAACAGATGCGCCACCAGGCAGAGGTCTGGCAGTCCCTGTGCTTCTGCAGCACCTGTTCCAGCACTGAGCTCTGCTGCAAGCCAAGAGCAGCTCTCCACAGCCGCTTTTCCACCCGAGTTGATGGAGAACAATACCTCGCTTCTGTTCAGCCTCTGCCTTTGCTCCCCGCCTGACGTGCTCCTCAGAAGCAAGAATAAAACCCATCTGTGGGAGCACTGGAAGGTGGGGGAGTGAAGCATTCGAGGTGTTGGCGAGACACAAGGAGCACATCTCTTTTTGGATGAAGCTGACCTCATTCAAGGCAATCCGATTGTGAGCTGAATGTAATCCCCAGCTCCCAGCTGACCAGACAGGAAAATGGCATTGTGTCCCAACGAAGGAATGAGAAGGCGTGTTGTAATCCTGCAGTCAGGATTTTTTTATTATTATTATTTTTGTCCTTGCTGAAACAACTTCAGATTAGAAATTAAACTGCTTGTGCAGGAGAGCTGTAGTTGCCTGGAGAGAAAATCCCTGGGCTTGTCACTGGCACCTGACACTCTTGACTCTGAATTTTAGCAGCAGTGATGAGATGGGATGGAAAATCTCCTGTTCTCAGCTCTGAGCTCTTGCAAAGGGGATTTGGAGTTTTAGAGTTTGGGAGTGGGGTTATGTTGCCTGATTCAAAGCCCACCATGGCTGGGTCTCTTGTCTGTCTCACTCTGCAAGTGATGGTCTGCCAGCAGGGCTGTGCTGATGGGAGTTCATGTCCTAAAGGTGTCCTGGCCATGGGTGTCCTACTGAAAGGCACCAGCCTCCAAATCTTGGTGGCTCATCACTCATCACTCTGCTGTCTATGACAGCAGGGAGGGAGGGGATGGGGCCACCAGTTCTCCAGCCTCCTGCTTGGCTCCACGCTTCCACTTTGTTTTCCAACCTACTTTGCAAAGCTCCCCCTCCTGGAACAGTGAAACACAATTGTAATAAAGCAGTTGGTGAAACTGTGGTCCCAGACTTTATGTGCTCCCTGGCAAAAGCCTCACAGAGAAGGGATCCAGCTGTGGTTTGGTTTTCTTTTTGCAATTCAATAGCTGTAATGCTAATCCTTAAAACAGGACCAGGCAGGTGGTACCGAGCATGAAGGGAAGGGGGTGTGGTTGGAGTGTACCGAACCCCAAAATAACAGATGCAACACACCACTGGGCTATTGGCAGGTAGTGGCTGGGACGAGAATCTGATGTTGTTGGGACCCCAAAATTAAGATCTCGGATCTGAGGCTATTTTATCTTGTTGTCCTGGCTACCATAGGAGTCATCCTACCCTAGGACCCTTCTGCCTGTGAGTTGAGGGCTAAGCAGGGGAAGCATTTTGGGCTGTGAGCAGCAGTGGGGAAACGATGCTGGTGTGATGCTCCTGGGTTTCTTTTCCAGGCCTTGGCCATACACCATCTTCCAGCGTGGCTTTGACTTGGTGCTGGGTGAGCAGCCCTCTGACAAGATTTTTCGGTAAGTGATGAAGGCAACCTGCTCAGCACATTTTGGGGCTTAAATACGAGTTGGGGCATGCAAGTAGCCCAGCTGGCAGGGCTGAGCACAGCTGTCCTGTACCACCTCCTAGGGACATGCAAGCATGGCTGGGAAGATCACCCTGTAGCTGTCATGAGGGTGCTGGATACCCAGCAGTCAGTTCCTCCTCTCTGTCCGTGGTGAGAGTGAGTTTTAGGCTCTGAAGGAGTGTTTCTATGAAAATGGAAGTGCCTTTTTAAAAAAAAATTACTTAAGTTACATGCAATTTTTGGGAATCATTTGGTGTATTTGGAGGAGCCACCCCATTTTACCCTGCCCACACAACTTAGTTTGGGCTGGCATCCCTGCAGGATGAGCAAGGGAGGCTCAAGAGCTTGGATTTGGGCAGAGACAACCTTCCAGCCTCAGCGTTTCTTTCTGTGCCAGCCTTTGCTGCTCTCCCTGGCAGGTTCACCTACACTTTAGGGGAGGGCATGTGGCTACCCCTGAGCAAGAGCTTCGTCATCCCACCAGCCGAACTGGCCATCAACCCCTCAGCCAAGTGCAAGACTGACATGACGGTGATGGAGGATGCAGTGGAGGTCAGGTAGGTGCGATGGCAGGGTGAGGGAGTTCAGGAGGGGTTTCAGCAAATAGGGCTGGGATCCCCGTCCCACATTTTGCAGGCGGAGATTAGTACAACCATTAACCTGCCCCTCTTTAGTCCTGCAAAGCTGAGCCTTTGGCTGTATTCCTCCTCATCTCAGTAGCTCCTGCATCTTTCTAAAAACTTGGCTGCCATCCAGTTCACTGTCAGCCTGAGGAAAGCCTGAGCTCTGGAGAAACGCACGCAGCAGTCATGCATGCGTCCACAACATCTCATTGAAGCAGTGACACATCTCCTCTTCCCTCTCTTCACAGGGAAGAGCTGATGACCTCATCCTCCTTCGACAGCCTGGAGGTCCTTCTTGACTCCTTTGGCCCTGTTCGTGACTGCTCCCGGGACAACGGGGGCTGCAGCAAGAACTTCCGCTGCATCTCAGACCGCAAGCTGGATTCCACAGGCTGTGTGGTGCGTGACCCTCAGGGACCTGCAAATCTCCTTTGGTGTGAGCAAGGAAGGAGGGGCTAGAAAGGAATCCTTCCTCCGTTACTGTCAATTTGGAGTAGATATTTTGAGGTTGATTTTGTAGCAGGAAGATGTTTTTGTGCTGGCATCTCCTCTGTTGCTGCCCACACGCACACACGCACAAACACACGAGGCAGTAAGAGTCTATCTGTTTGTTGGCTCTGTGGGAGATTCCGTATCACTCACACATGTGGTGTGCCTTGTCACCACCACAGCTGCTCTGCCCCAAAATGGGGGGTCTGTGGGGCTGGGGTGCACTTCTGCAATGTCACCAGAGCTGGGCATTGGGGTGAAGAGGCTGTGAGTGTGGGGTAGAAAGTGGGTGTGGAAAGGGCAGCACTGCTTTGTCAGTCACTGGAGCTGGGTTGCTGGAGAGCGGGGTTGATACCAGCACGTTGCCTTGGTGGGGGGTGGCTTGGAGGGCTCCCACCTCAGGGGATGCACTCCTGAGGGCTGCAAAGAGGCTTTGGTGCAGGAGTGGATGGTGCTGCTGCTGTCCTTCTTGCAGCCCCTGAGCACTGCTCAGGTGGCAGTTTCCAGTGGGGAGCAGTGCAGGAGCCCTGCCCTCCACCTCAGCCCCAGAGACAGATTTCTTCCCGGGGGTTTTCACCTCTTACTTCCCCCACCCTGTAAGAGCCTGACGGAGAGATGGAGACTTCAGCCAGCTCTTAAAATGCTGTTTATTGCATAGACGAGGTTCCAGCAGCTGAGGGTCATGGGTGAGCCTATAGCTGCTGGCTATAGGCAAGCTGTTTGTCCTGAAGCCCAATTCTATTCATGTTACAAAGCATTTTATCTCTTTCTCTGCTGTGCATCTTACTACATAACAACCAATTAGCATTATACACAATACCATTTACATATAACCTATCAAAACTGCTAAAACTACTATATTATGTTCTTGACCAGCCAATCATCTGAGTTAGTAGTTATATGCTGAACTTTTGAGACTTGTTTTGCAGTGGAAATTTCTTTTAGCTTTGGTAAAAAACATCTTTCTGTCTGCCTATGCTTTTTTGCTTAGTAGAAAACATGCCTTATTTGAAGAAGACAACCTTTTGTTTGAAGGCTACTTAGTCTTTGGGCCTTAGTCATAAAACTCCTTCTAACTTGACTAAACCTTTGTTCTCTCAGCTGTTTCAGCAACAACTGGCCCTAAAAGCATCTTTTATATATCCAAACTTGCTTTCATTTCTCTAGAACCTTCTGTATATCTGTAAAACTTTTCTGTTAATTTTCATCCTTCCCAACACACCCCACCAGTGCCCAACGGGCCTGAGCCCCATGAAGGACGGCACCGGCTGCTATGACCGTCATGTCGGCGTGGACTGCTCCGATGGCTTCAACGGGGGCTGTGAGCAGCTGTGCCTGCAGCAGATGGTCCCCCTGCCTGAAGACCCCCTGCTCTACAACATCCTCATGTTCTGTGGGTGAGTGACCCGTCACCTCCCTGGACACAGGGACACCCCCAAAGTGCTGCTGTCCATTGCTGCTGCCACCCTGAGCTTGTAGGATTGGGATGGAGGGGGTCTCCTATGTCCTTGTGGCTGTCCTCAGTGTTGGGGGGGCTTCAGCTGAGGGTGGACCTCGTGCTGACTTCCCAGGTGCATTGAGGACTACAAGCTGGGCATGGATGGACGGTCGTGCCAGCTGATCTCGGAGTCGTGCCCTGAGGTGGGGGACTGCGGCGAGCCCCGCGAGCTGCCCATGAACCAGACACTCTTTGGGGAGATCTTCTATGGTTACAACAACCACTCCAAGGAGGTCGCACCGGGGCAGGTGCTCAAAGGGACATTCAGGTGAGTTGCACACATGGAGGGGATCCCAGCAGGGTCAGACCTCACCATCCTCTCCAAGAAGAAGGCATGAGAAGGAGCCTGGGGCTGGACCATAGCAGACTGCCTAGTCCATCCATGTCTGGCTTCACTTTGCAGAAGATGGATGGGCTGGTGGGGAGGGCACATCTGATGCTTTCCATCAAGAGTAGACATCTTTTTAATCTGTGCTTGAAGGAAAAGAGAAGTGCCAGGTGTTTTTATGGGATGGGTCACTTGCTGGCAGGGATGATCCCAGTCATTTCTGCTGTCCTCCAATCTTGCTCTTCTCTCTGCAATTAACTTCCAGGCAGAACAACTTTGCCCGGGGCCTGGAGCAGCAGCTGCCGGATGGGCTGGTGGTGGCCACAGTGCCTTTGGAGAACCAGTGCCAAGAGGAGCTCTCTGACCCCGTGCCTGACCCCGAGTTCCTCACTGGTGAGTAAGTCCAGATGGATCCATGTCTCTCCCAGTGAGGCAGCTGTCAGCATGTCCAGCTTCAGCAGCTTAACCTCCCACAGTATATATCTACTGTGGGATATATCTAGTCTGGTTTTAGCACCCTGTGCTCAGCTGCATGTAGAGGACCCAGCACCTAAGGGTTGGTTCCTTTTTCCAGTAAGAGGAAGGCATTAAAAATGAAGGAAAGGCAAAGGCTGTAAATTAATTGTGGAGTGTAAAAGCTCAAGCATCCATCAAATATTTGAGGCATTTGCAAAACGATTTTTCTTGTTTTTTTGTTTTTGAAGGAAAAAGGGGTTTTCCAACTACCTTTGATTTCTTTGCTGATATAATGAAGCATTCAAAACCCAGTGCCATCAAAACAAAATGTTCTGGTTTGCTGTGCCAGAGCATCATGGACCATGAGTGATAAGTTATCATAGGTTCCTAGACAGCCTTCAAGGATTTGCCTTTTTTCCAAGTTGCCAGTACTCATAAATAGCCTTCATTAGCTTGGTGTTTGTTGCTGTTGGCTGAAATGGCCTAGACATCAAGGAGCTACTAAACACAGGATGTGGCTAGTAAGGTGTTTTGGTCTCATAGGAGACCTTGTGCATTTGCTTTGTCTGGCAGAGCTTCCAGGAGGATTTTGGGGAGCACCCATGGACTGTATCCAGGGTCTGGTGGATGCTGGTAGCCCTGACAGGGTGTATGGCAATGAAGGTGTGTGTGCAGAAGATTCAGCAGGGAGGAGGGTACTGGTGGGTCTTGGGGAGCTGAGCTTCCCCAAAAGAGCTGGATGAGTGGGTCACTCCTGCTTCCCTGGTGATGCTCAACCCTGCCTGGAGGTGCTGGAGGACACTTGCCTCCCAATGGGTCTCTCCTGCGTGTGACATTGTTACATGGATGTAAGGAAGGCACTGCCACCACAGCCCCAGCATCACAGCAGTGTCAGTGGGACTGGGACTTCACTGGCAATTATGCTGGGGAGGTAAAAGCCACTAAATTATCTTCATTTCCCACTGCTCTGCTGGCTTTGTGGCTGATTAACGGGGGGGAAAAAAGGAAAAGAAGTAAAATATTCTCTGCTTGTCAGAAGCTTGGATATCGCTGTGAATACACGAGAGACAGAGCTGCTGAGTAAGGAAGGGCTGTTTTTGCATAAACACTTTTCAGGGAAGAGCAAGGCTTTGAAGCTGTCGGCAGCAGCCAGCACTGAAGAGAGGAGCTGGAAGGCAAAGGATCTTATCCTACTTATACTCTGCCTTTAGGTCTTGTTACAGAGGGGGGGATGCCCACTGTTATCCTGCTGAACTCCTGCTGGGTGCGTGTTAGCAGCAGAGTTTGCTGCTCAGCTGCCTAGTGGAGGCGTGACGTGCTGGCTGTGCAGCACTGGAGCTGCGAGGGAGGAGATGCCCTGTCCCAGCATCCTGCTGTGGCACTCTAGGGGTGCTCTGGCCACCAAATTCAGAGCCATAAGCACCCTTCAGTTCCCTTGCTGGGGCTTTGTCTGAGGCTCGGTGGCCTCTCTGTCCCTCTGCTCATGGAAGCTGAGCTGCCATGTGCCTTGGGCAGGAGTAAGTGGTCACCCAGCCCTGGTCTCCATGAATTTCTGCCTTCTGTAACTCACAGCTAAATGGCTGAAGTACAGGATGTCTTGAAGGAGAAGCAAAAACTCTAGGTCCTGTTCAGCCCCAGAATTGCCATAATGTCCCGAGGGAACATTAGCATCAACAGGCCAGCAATTTCCCCGTCTATCTGTTGCCCACTCAGTTCAGTCCCAGCCGAAAGGGACCCAGGGCTTCTTGGCTGGTTGCACTTGGGCACACGTGGCATGACAGTGACCGTTCCCAGGCCTGCAAACAACTCATTAAAAAGCACAGCTCTCATTAGTGACATAATTAGCACACCTGGGCTTGCCTTGGGAGTGGGCACTGGGAAGGAAGCAGGAGGGAAAGCAGGAGGAGGCTCATTATCTTCCAGTGCAGAGCCCCAGACGGCAGAATGAAACAAGCCTATGTGTTTTCCTTCAAAACCATCATTTTAATTGCGGGGGACCACCTGACCCTCAGCTCTGAATGCCTCCCTGGGGGCATGTGGTGTGTACAGAGCCCTTTTCCCTGGCTTTTTCCCACCTTGCTGGCTGTGTTGCCCAAGGCACAAAGGGCTGCAGCCATCCCCGTGGTGAGGTATTGCTCAGCAGTGGCATTGAGTCCCTGTGTCCTTTCTCTGGCAGGGATGGTGAACTTCAGCGAGGTGTCCGGGTATCCCCTTCTGCAGCACTGGAAGGTGCAGTCTGTTATGTACCATGTCCGGCTCAACCAGATGACCATCTCCCAGTGTAAGTGTGCAGGGACAGGGGGAGTAAGAGGAGAAAGGATGGCAAGAGGTGACATAGCCTTCTGCTGGCAGATAATGGGCTCAAAGGCTGGTTGCCCATTGCAAGTGTGTCGGGAGGTAGCAAGGGCTTGGCGGGCTCTGGGAACTGAGCATCTCTTCCATCTCCTTCCCAGCCTTCAGCAATGCACTCCATTCTCTGGATGGAGCCACCTCCCGTGGAGATTTTGTGGCACTGCTGGACCAGTTTGGCAACCACTACATCCAAGAGGCAGTGTACGGCTTTGAGGAGTCCTGCTCCATCTGGTATCCCAACAGGCAGGTCCAGCGGCAGCTCTGGCTGGAGTATGAGGACATCAGCAAAGGTAGGAGCTTATTCTTGGTCAGGGTACTCATAGACACCCCATAGGAGTGGGAAGCGGGGTTTGCTTTTGACAAGCAAAAGTGGGAAGTGGGGTTTGTTTTTGCTTTTGGAAGGTGCCCAGCCTGTGTCAGGACTGCTTCCCACATCATTGTCTCACACCGTGCTCTTGTAGCCCTTTGAAGCCAGCTGAAGGATTCCTATGGATTTCAGCAGGCACTGGTCCAGGCCAAAAAGAAAGAACAATACCCACAGCCCCAGGAAGATGAAAGACAAGTGCACCAATCCCACGAAGCTGTCCTGCCTCATTCTGGGCTTAACTGTTGTCTTTAATCTCATTCTTTCCTTCCTTTTGTCTCTGCCATATCTACTCTCTTCCACTTGCATCCCCCAGCCAGACTTTTCTCCCTCCAATGTGTTTCCTTCTCTGGGGCTGTCAGCACTGTGCTTTTAGTGCCTGGGAACCAGTCAGGAGCTGGGATGTTCATCATGGTGCAGAGGGCATCTGGCACTGCTGCATCCCCTCCAGTGCCCTGGCTGCAGTGAACTGTGATGGATCCCCAGTGGAAGAGGTGGTGCCCGCTTTGGATGGCAGCTTTACAAAAGCTGAGGCAGCCTAACTCCTGCCTGCTGCCATCTATCCTCAGGACTGTAGCAGCTTGGTCTAGCTGAAGGTGTCCCTGCCCGTGGCAGGAGACTGGAACGAGATGGTCTTTATTGTCCCTCCCATTCCAAACTATTCTCAGGTTCTATGATTCTACAATCTCTTGTGCTGGCCACAGCAAAGCTGCCTGCAGGTATTTTCCTGCCTGTTCTGGGGATGGTGAGTTGCAACATCCAGGCTTGGGCAGCAAACAAGAGCCAGCTCCCAAGCCTGGACATGGGGAATGCTGAGCAGAGCTGCTGCTTTTTAGATGACCTTAGTTTGCTGCTCCTGCCCTGGAATTCCCAGGTGCAGGCAGTGTGAGCTTGGTGCTCACAGGCACCATCAATAGACACATCATTTCCATCATGAAGCTTCCTAATTGTCAGTATTGGTACCAGCCTATGGTGCTGCTATTGCTATGTCCCAGCCACAGAGACATTTATTATCTCCCCAGGGCTCTTTTTAGAAAGGGCTTCTTTCAAAGCCTCAGTCTGAATCCTGTGGGCTCAGGCCTCCTGGAGAATGGACTTCTTCACAAGCCCACCTGGAAAAGTACAAACTCTGTCTGGCGGTAGGCTGTCTCCAGATGTAGCACCTCTTGATTGCAAGTACTTCTTTTTTTCTCCTGCAATTTCCTCCTCTTTGATTTTCATGCTTGGAGGCTTTTCAGGTCTGGCAGCCTTTTTCAACCCACAGTATCACATTTAGGTTTCACTCTGGCACCTGCTACTTTCCTTCCTTTGCTTTTTGTTTGCAAATATCAGGGGCTGGATATCGATTGAGAAATTGCAACAGACAAATCATTCCCTGGCTCCTCTGCTTCTCCTCAGTGCCTGCTAAGCTGCAATTCACAGCCAGCCAAAAGTAATTTATCTCCAGCTTCCTGGGGGAGCAGAGCAACACTTTTGTATCCCAGGTTTTGTTTTAACAGCCTTGTTTTCTTTGCGGGTGTCTCAAGCATGGGCTAGTGCTGGCCCATTTCTCCACAAATCCTTGGTATAGGGAGATGTTCTTATTGAGTTCTGGATGTGGTCCATGGTGGCTCCCCACAGCAGCCAGCCTGTACCAAGTTACCACTAACGATGGCCTGAGCCTGCCCTGGGGGTGAGGCTTTGCCTGGTAGTCCTTCAGCTTCCTCCAACCTCACCAACCATCTTCAATAGTTCTTCTAGGCCCGTCCTCTTTCTGTATAAATCCAGGGACATCCTTTGGCAGGGATTCTGTGTGAAAAGCACTGTTTCCCTTCATGGCAAGGCTCGCCATGGCAGGGTGATGCTACCCAGGGTGCAGCAGTGATGGGCAGATTTTACCTTTTTGACTTCTTTGACTGTTCCTCTTGTGCCAAAATATTTCCTGCTATGTAGGGCCAGGAGGGTTTTTGCAGGAGAATGATTTGGCAGGTATCTTTGTCTTTGATGGGGAGTCTGCGTGACGTGAGGGTGCCCAGACAGGTCCTTCAGGAGTCTCCAGCCAAATGAAGGAGGCTCCCTCTCGTGGGGACCTGCTGTAAGGATGGTCTGTCCCAGTCCCGGTGTTAGGAATGAGGCTGGGGAAACTGAGTCACTGGGAGACCCGAGGACCTGCAATCATAGAAGCCAGGTGGGCTTTTCAGTCTCGATTTCTCTCCTCTGAAGACCAGTAAGTATCTCATCCCTACAGAGCAAACAGCTCTTAAGGATACAGGGGGCTCTTTGGAAGCACTGCCTCTCTCCTGGGTGGAGGGCAGAGCTCTAGCCCCCTCATATTCCATTACCAATGGCTTAGAACCCACCCTGGTGTCCCTTTTTTCCCCCTTCTCCAGGCAACTCCCCTTCAGATGAGTCCGAGGAGCGGGAGCGAGACCCCAAGGTGCTGACATTCCCCGAGTACATTGCCAGCCTCTCCGAGTCTGGCACCAAGCGCGTGGCAGCTGGCGTGCGGATGGAGTGCCAGAGCCGCGGGCGCTGCCCCCCCTCCTGCCCGCTCTGCCACGTTGCCTCCAGCCCCGACGTGCCAGCCGAGCCCATCCTGCTGGAGGTCACCAAGGCAGCCCCCCTCTACGAGCTGGTCACCAACAACCAGACCCAGCGGGTGAGGAGCCACATGCTGGGGGTGATGGAGCGAGCAGGAGGGGTGGCAGGACAGCACTGTAGCTGTCTTTGGAGGCAGCTTGCCCAGATAGCATCATGTCCAGCTGTGGCAGCCCTTGCCTATTGGCCAGCCCTGCTCTCCAGGGTGGATGGACTGAGCTGAGCCCATCAGGGGATGGATGAACACCGGCACAAGTGGTGGTGGGATGGGAGTTCACCTGCCCAGTGCTCAACCCCTTCTCCTCTCTTCCAGCTCCTGCAGGAGGCCACCATGAGCTTGCTATGGTGCTCAGGCAGTGGGGATGTCATCGAGGACTGGTGTCGCTGTGACTCGAGTGCCTTTGGGGCTGATGGGCTGCCCACCTGTGCACCTCTCCCCCACCCAATGTAGGTGCCCAGCCTGGCTTTTTGGTGTGATAGGTCTGTGAAGAGGTGGTGATGGCCAGCAGTGTGGTGGCAGGAGGTGGTGGGGCTGTTTGCCTTCATGGGACTGGTTTGCACTGATGGGTAACTTGGAAATTGGGTGGAGAGCACAAAGTTGCAGTGTCTTTTCTAAGTCCAGCTGAGGACTGTGGAGCTGGTTGTGGATCCATCCTGGTAAAGCAACCCTAGGGAATAAGTCCTTTGGACCAGCATGCCCAGAGTCAGGAGGGGAAAGGGAATGGGAGTAATTTCTCTCCTGAGGTTGCTGTCTCCTGTGAGTTAATGGCTTTGAATCCCTTCTATAGTGAGAGAGTAATGCAAAAATTGTCCCCCAGCCTGCGTCTCTCCACTGTACATGAGCCCAGCAGCACACTGGTGGTACTGGAGTGGGGCCACTCAGAGCCCCCCATTGGGGTGCAGATCGTGGACTACCTCCTCCGTCAAGAGAAAGTCACTGACAGAACAGACCACTCCAAGGTGGAGACAGGTGAGTGGGGACTCCACTAGTTCTCTAGGGAGAGTGGGATGGAGATGTTAGAAGAGAGCCTCTGTCTTTGTCTTTGGAAGGAGGTGCTGCAACAAATCAAATATCCGGTGGAAGAGAGAGCAGCCCTTCTCCTGCCTGTCATGCTGCAGAAAGGGGCAGCTCCATACTAAAGGGATGAACTTTTCTGGAAAAGCAGTGGGTCCAACTTTACACCAACTTCATGTGTTAGCCTTGGTCCCCCTTGGCACGAAGCAGTGTGGCAGCAGGCACAGGCTCTCCACAGCCCCAGGGACACCTGTGTCATCACCAGTGGCACATCCTCCCCTCTCTCCCTAGAGACAGTGCTGAGCTTCGTGGATGACATCATCTCTGGTGCCAAGTCACCCTGTGCCATGCCAGCCCAAGTGCCTGACAGACTCTCCTCCACCATCTCCCTCATCATCCGCTGCTTGGAGCCTGACACCACCTACATGTGAGTGCCCTGTGCCATGCCTGTGGCAGTGCTGACATCCTGACTGTGGTCATCCTGTTTGATGCTGCCTGTATTTCCTTATGGTCTTGGGAGCCCAGAGCTTTGTTTTTTTCCCCTTCTCATCCAGGTTCACACTCTGGGGAGTTGACAACACAGGAAGACGTTCCAGGTCAAGTGATGTGACAGTCAAGACGCCCTGCCCTGTGGTAGATGATGTGAAAGCTCAAGGTGAGGTGGAGGGAGCTGCTGGACGTGATGCTTGGGACAAGAGGGAATTCCCCCTTCCAGCATGTTCCCTTACAATGCCTTGTGTCCTGGCTGTAACATCTCCTTGACCCATTGTGGCCCAGGAGCTGCCACATGGTGTGGAGGGCTGAAATTGGGGGCTGCAGGAGGCACACATCCCCTCTGAAAACAAAAGTGAATAAATGGTGTTTCACTTACACTACCTGATGGTGTCACCCATTTATTTCCTTAATTAAACCAAATTGTGGGAAGCTAACCTGGACTGAGTCCAGGAAATGCCATCTAGTCTGTTGCTCCTCCACTGGGACCTTGTCCTGATATGATGTAAATTGTAACGCAGTGGACAAATCTTAGTTCTGGTTTTGGTTTCCCTATAACTAAGCTTTAGCCCTGGTGGGCTTTATTCATGCCTTTCCTTGCACCCCACTGAACAAGCCCTGTTGTTCTGCCCAGAAATTGCAGACAAGATCTACAACCTCTTCAATGGCTACACGAGTGGCAAGGAGCAGCAGACAGCCTACAACACTCTGCTGGACCTGGGCTCCCCCAGTCTCCACCGAGTCCTTTACCACTACAACCAGCACTATGAGAGCTTTGGGGAGTTCACCTGGCGCTGTGAAGATGAGCTGGGGCCCAGGTAGGATCAGGAGCTGAGTTGGCTAAGCAGGCAGGCCTGCCCACCAGCAGGCTTCTCCCTCATGGATAGTGGTCACCAGGAAGGCATCTCTTCAGCAAATCTCATGATATGATGATGGATGATAGACCTTAGGCTGTCACAGTGGGGTTTCTGTTTTGCTGGATGCTGTGCATATGCAAGGACCATTAACATGGGACAAAGTGGAAAGTGGTTGACTGTTGTCATCCCAACATTGTTGTCCATGCCATCAGCCCTGTACTGTTTTTAGAGTTTGGCCTAACATGTTCATGTTGTGCAGAGTGACAAAGGGATGGGATTCTCTTTTTTCCTTCATAGCTGATGCCACAGGCAAAAAGGCAGAAGATCTTGGAAAAATAATGCACCTTCAAGGGATGGAGATCGGATTCTGCTTTCTGCCTTTTCCTGGGCTTTGGCTTGAGCTGCATGCACCTCTGTGTGCTGAACTCTGTCATCTTGTGGTCCTCGGCAGGCAGAGGACAGACTTTAGGTCTGAATTGTGCATTTCCTCACTTTTGATCCACATATGTGGTTGTGTAGGGGTGACATGAGTGGTTGTGGTGCCCATGCAGTGCTTAGGTGCAAAGCAGGTTTTGGAGGAGGTTGTCTTGAGCTCTTCCTGTCTAAAATAGTGTCTCTTTGTGCCTTCTCTTCAGGCTTCTCCAAGTCACTGAAGTCCTTCCAGCTGCATGAAAGTGTCCCAGGCTTGTGGAGGTAGCCAGACGTTCCCTTCTCTCCATGTCCTTCAACATCTGCTTTAGTCTGCATGATTTCCCAGTAACGTAGATATTTCCAGTCAGTTTAGCAAGCTGGGCTGAGAGATTGCATGGGCTGCAGTGGTGTTTCATAGCATCTGGCCTCCAAAGAATCAGAGCTGTGACCTCATCTGGAAATCAGGGTTACTTTCAAATGTACATCAAGAGCTCCTATGTATGAAATTCATGGCCTCTGCCTTACACCTTGCCCCACAGCTCCTTTTGCTGGTTTCACCACTGTCTTCCAGTCCTGCTTCTCCAGCTGATCACTTGTGTACTTCTAGCAGAGGACAGGAGATTCTCCGTGTACATTCTCTGTCCTCCAAGCCTTTGCTAGGCAGTCAGAGAAACTCAGCAAATAGCTTGTGCCTATCTTGCACTTAGTGCCTTGGACTTGTCTCCTGGTACAGCTTTGTTGGGAAACTCCGAGGAGGCCCTCCATGCCCTGGAGTGGAGATGGGATGTCTTCTCTTTCCTCTTTTCCCATTTATGTCCTAAGAAATGTGAGCTCTTTGAGGCAAAACCTCAAAGCTCAGTAGCAACATTACAACACATGGAGTCTTTTTAGGGCAGAGGCCCAGGGTTGCCTTATTCCCCCGACACCAAGTGGGATCAGCAGGCTTGGACTCACTTTTGTCTCAGTCCCAGCTGTGGTGATGCTGCTCTGTCTCCATTTCCAAATGTGAAATCCAGCCCCAGTTTGCACAGACCATCTGGCATGTGGTGATTTGCATGAGGAGTACATAAAATTCCTGACGTAACAGACTGGAGTCATCACAGAGCCACTGCCATCACTGAGGCCGAGTGTTGCCACTGCTGCTCTCTGCCCCAGAGAGGAGACCAAGGACCAGCCAGAGCACGGAGTGGAAGCTGCCTCCTTGAGTCCTATGAGGCAGAGGGGCCTTGCCATGGAGCAGTCAGAAATGCCACTGAATTACCTAAATGATACAATTTTTTGTGTGAATCTACGAACCGGAGGGTTAATATCACCCTCTGGAAATGCTGGAGTGCTCAGGATAGGATGATGCAAGTTCCTGATGAAGTGTTTGCAGCTCGCACTACTTGGAAAGAGGCATTTAGGCAGCTGCAGTGGGTTCTGGTGATGACAAATCTTGGAAAGCAGACCTCCTGTTTGATCATTTGCGAGGGCGAGGCACCCAGACTAGTGGTGACAGAACAAATCACTTGCAGATGACATTATTTTGCCAGCAGACACTGTTTGTTTGACTGTTACTGATGCTCCTTTGAAGTTGTGGATGTGGACTCCCATGACTTCTCTATCATGTCCCTTCTCCACATGTCCAGGGCACCTCCTACTCTGCTTATTTTTGGTACACTCGGCTCCCTTCTTGGCAGTGCTGGCAGCTGGACTGAAGAAGCATAACTTGTCGTGAGTGCACAGATAACTTGTCTGAGGCTATGAAAGCAAGTCGCTCCCTCACGGTCTGAGAAGGAATGCAGAGAGCCCTGGTCTTTGCATAAGGAGAGGAAATGGAGAAAAAAGCAAGCAATAAGTGGAAGTTGGATTTGATGCAAAGCCTACTGAAGTCTGGTGGTGCCCACAGGCTTTGAGCCAAAATCTGTGGGATCATATCAGGCATTCCCGTGAGGGTGCCTGTAATGCTGGAGGAAGAGGCACTCATGGCACCTTGCTTAGGTGTCAGATACAGAGACCAAGACAAGTGAGAGCTTGGCTATTTTCTCATGACTGGCCAGCTTGGGTGGCTGTCTCCAGAGCCAGCACCGTGCTAACCACCTTTGTCTTTCTGGCATGCCCTGGACATGAGCTCTGGGGTAGCAGTTGTCATGCAGGTGCAGAGCTGGACAACCTTTCAGCAGCTCCAGACTGGCCCTTGAAGCTGCAGTCACATCCAGGGTTTCCTCTCCAGGAAAACCAAGGTTGGCTTTCTCCCGTGGTGTGCCTGGCCTGGAGGGACTTACGGAGAGGCAGTGGATTCGTGGTTATATCCTGGAGCTGTCAAATCAGTTCACCCTGCTTATCCTAAGTAAGAATCTCCTGTAAGAATGTGATATTTTTCCTTCAGAATCATGATTTGTGACTGCTGCCTGTTCTCGGCTGAGGAGATACTGAGTTAAAGCTAGTGAGGGGATGTATCTTCTTTTCCCTGACTATTCTAACCCACCAACTCACTTTGTAGCTGGGTAGGAAACTTATCACAACTCATCAGACATTTAAACTTTTGTCTGGGTTTCTAGGCATATGAGATACCCTCAAGATACTTCATTTGAATCCATTGCCTCCACAGTGGCCACATTCCCTGGAGATCACCCAAAGTGTGAGACAAATTTAAAATGAACACAATGTGTTTTATCTGTACAAACTGATTTTCTTGATAAAAACATTAGAAGCACAGTTTTAAGAGGACAAATTTGAAAAGAAGAGAACACAACTTAGATCATATTTGGCCATGATCCTCTGCTCTCTTCCAATATCTTATCCAATATAAGCAGTTGGTAATTTAGCAGTTCCTCACTACCAGGACAAGCCTGCACTGAGGTTATGATGCCCTGGGTGTGCTGTGTGTCTGTTGCAGAAGATGGATTAATCCTGGATCTCCTCTGCCTCTGTCACCTGACCTTCTCTCAAAGCTTCCTTGGTTGGGTTGTGGCTCTTTACAAGCTGCTGCTGCAGTGGCTTGTCTTTCCTCATTTTGTTCTCCACAACTGGAAGATGCAAAATGCACAGGCAAAGAACCAGGGAGCTCTGCCACATCCCCTGCTCTCTCAGAGATTTTTGGATGTGTTTGATGTATGCCCCAGTACATCCCTCTGGTTTGCATAGTGTCCTGTAGGACACATTTCCTAAGCTGTTACTAAATATTGTAAGTCATGTAGCAGGAGTGTCATTCACTGTACTTATGTCTTGTGATATTTCATCCTCTATGGATCATAATTTTTAATCTCACCTTCAACCTTCCATACAGACCCTCACAAGCCAGACATGGCATTTTGGTTTGGATTTTTTTTTTTTCTTAAATCTCCCTCTTCCTCAGTGGTATCCTGGCATGCTGCTCCCAATACTGTGCATTTCTGACACTGGAGAAGTTGAGGATGCCTCATTCCTGGAAATGTTCAAGGCCAGGTTGGGACTTGGAGCAACCTGGTCAAGTGGAAGGTTGGGGATAGGGGATAGGGGAGTGGAACAAAATGATCTTTAAGGTCCCTTCCAATCAAACCATTCTGTGATTCTATGATACTTACACCAAGCTATGAATGACCAGCATAGTTTCTGAACACTCAGCACATACACATAATGGAGAGGACACATACGGTGACACTCTTCTGGGCTGGCCATATATGTCATACCTGACACTTTTTAGCATTTATCCCTGCTGCCTACATTGCTATTGGGTCCTGATTTCCCATCCTGTTATATATGGGGTCCAGTAGCTGCAACAGTGACAGTAGTGCCACTTGAGTCCTTGGTGATATCCACCCCAAGGGGTGCTGGGGGTTTCACAGCTACACCTGTAACTGTCTCCTTAATAAACTCTTGGCAAACTTGGCCTTGTTGTGTGAGTGGTACAGGGTGGAAGAAGAAGAGTGGACAGGACAGGGAAGCGTGAGTCCCAAGACCAGTGCAGCAGGTCCAGCACTGCCATGGTGACATGGGCATCTCTGCCCCAGGTAGGGGCTGTTCTCACATGGATTTAGTTTGCAGTGCTGCCTTGGGGGTGGTGTGTGCCCGCAGGCCCACTATCTCTCCTTGTCCTGGCAGCATCAGGATCCACACAGCTGCTCTTGCATTCTCTTCTCCCTCAAGGAGCTCCCATGGTGTCCTAAACTGTCTTTACTTTTCTCTCCTCATACATTCCTCCCACCCTTCCTGCCATCCTCTCTGTGGTGTCTCCATCGCTCCCGCCACCCCTCGCTGTCCATCGCCCCCCTGGCATCTCCCCTTGCCCGCCCTCGCTGCAGGAAGGCTGGCCTCATCCTCTCGCAGCTGGGGGACCTCAGCAGCTGGTGCAATGGCCTCCTGCAGGAGCCCAAGATCAGCCTCCAGCGCTCATCCCTCAAGTACCTCGCCTGCCGCTACAGCGAGATCAAGCCCTATGGGCTCGACTGGTCGGAGCTCAGCCGGGACCTCAGGAAGACGTGCGAGGAGCAGACGCTGAGTGTTCTTTACAATGACTATGGTGACAAAGACTACTGAAGATTCTGGGTACCTGCTCTCAGGCTGGCCTTCCCATTTCTGAGGGTATTACACATG